TTTTCTTATTTTGTTGCATTTTATTTAACATTTTTAGTAAATAAATAAATACAAAACTAGAAAAACTGAACACTTTAATGATACAAAAACAATTTTGGCTATAAATTGAGTCACTTTTAGACAAACTGTATTAAAAAAACATTAATTCTTTTGAAGAAATTAAAAAACTGGAACATTTAACTCACAACCAAATAAATTGTGTTCAGTGTTAATAAAGTTGCACTTGCACATGACGCAAACTCATTAACTTTGCTCGTGACGCATCAATTGAGATAACTCTCGGTTTAAGCAACCAATAAGGTCCCAAAATAAACATCGCGCCAAGGATTTACCCTCGAAATCAATATTAAAACCCTCGCAATTATTAAATATTTTTATTCGACTTTGTACAATCATACATTGCAGAATTATGACTTAGGTTACGAACTCTAATAAAATCGGTAAAAAAATTAAATATCTACATCCTAGTCGCACTTCAGTCCAGGCCCGTCTTTCTCTCAAGTCCCAGGCCGAATTTCAACACAAATCACTAATAAAAACGTGTATCACTTTCATTGGTGCACTTCACAGACAAAGTACGTTTCGAACGAGCACGGCGAGTCGTTCCATTTCAGGCCTTTGCCGTCACGATTCCATAATTCCAAACAGTTTTCCTCCTCGCCGTTTTCATATTGGAAATTGTTGGGCTCGCCGGCGTTCCAGTTGGTGAAGGTGATGGGACGGCCAGTGGACATCCAGAAAAAGTGGCCTTCTTCGGCCAAATCCGTGCCAGAAGTCCAGAAATGCTCATGACCGAGGCCTAAAAACGGATTTTAATTCATTTTTGTGTAAAAAAGTAAAAAACAAGGGTTGTAATACCTAGAGGTGAGTAATAGAGGTAAGTAATGAGCAGTGGCGGCTCGTAGTCTTTTATTAACAGGAGGCAGATCTTTTTTTATATAAAAAAATAGAAATATACGTGTGATTCTTAGCTTTGCTGACCACAAGAAGCTAACTTTTAAAAGAAAAATACAAAAATCGAGTAACCTTTTTAAAATTTTTCAGTTTTTTTTAACGATTCATTGAATTTATTAATTTCAATTTGCAGGGCCGAATCTACATTTGTGGCTATATTTTATTTACCCTGGAGATGTAATTTGCTACTCAAAAATATGTTCTTGACTTTAAGTGTGTCTTTCTATTGCCCTTGGTATTTTTTTTAAATTGTCATACCACAGTTTTAAACCATGCTTCCTCACCATGACTTAAAAAAAGGGCAAAAAAATATTTTTTTTGTGTTTCGGTTCCAGTTATCCACTCATATTTAATATGCCAGGAATTTACAAAACTGTATATACAGTATGATGAAAAAAAGGCGCCCGTGTTAACCCACACGTTATAAGTGATCTTTTATTAAAGACGAATTTGAAGACCAAAATTGGATTTGTCCTCTTATCAGTAAGATATAGACTTTCCTTTTTAGAAAAGAGAAATCTATATAATTAACAGTTTTAAAATAATTTCATTGCTAAAGACTAGATTTTGATACTGTTGACGGTGTTCTTAAAAAAAATGTGTAAAAAGTCTATTGAAATAAGCTTTATTGAAGATGTTTGGATACCATTTCTTGGCTCCAAAGAAAATTTATCAATGTTGCAACATTGCAAATATCCTAGGATACAGAAAATGTCCAAGTAATATTCAATTTATTGGAAACGGTAGCAACAAAAAAATCAATTTTCAATGTTGTTTGTTCTGTGAAATTTGAACGATTAAAGTCAAAAAGGTTTCCTACATACGAAAAATACCTGAGTGAAATAGTTTTTTAGTAAAAGAAATTTGTGCAATATTGCCGCTTTGTGCTGTTAGACAAACTGTTTAAATTTTAAAAAGAATCTATTTAGACTATTTTTGGAATGATGGTCACAATGTTTCAATAAAAAAGGACGCGCCTGTTTCAATCGTGGGCGCCTTTTTTCATCACTCTGTATAAGTAAGTTTTTCCATCCTAATTTCAGAAAGGAAAACGGCCAATTACCTCCATCATCTGTCAAAATTACAATAAAAATATATAAAACCTCTCAGGGAGGTAGAAAGTTTTCCTCCCCCATGGAAAGTGAAAAACAGCTACTAGATTTAATGGCAAAACTAGGATATTAAGGTTGAACTATATTGAATAAAAAAATAAACCGTTATTTAAAAATCCTGAAAAAAATATCATAATTTTGATGGCTTTAGCAGCAATACATATTAATTTGAAATTTTTTGTCCGTGTCGTTTAAAAATAAATTTAAAAAAACCTCTATTTTTGGCCATTTTAGGGCTAAACTTTAAAACTCTAACAGTTACAAATACTCAAAATGAAATAAAACTCTGTGTTACTGTGTGTGTGAGGTACTTATTTAATTCAGGAACAACATCCAATTGTAAAAAAAAAAAAACAATTTGTTTACTGGATTTCTTAAAAATTCAATTTTTCTTTTTTTCATTTGAAAACTTGCTTAAACGGTGTACGCAAGCGACAAATTCTTCTGGTGGTACATTTTGGAACTGACTAGAGACATGCCATCTACGGAACGGTAGAGCAAATAGTTTGAAAACTGTAATTTTGTAATTTTCTGTAAAAATTGCAAAAATTTCAAATAAAAAGAATAACAATTTTTAATAAATTATGTAATATATTTTTTGTTTGTTCTGATTCATTTTATTATAACTATCATTGTGGCGTCACTATCTATTAAATTTCTGTTTTTAGTCATCGAAATTAAAAGAAACAAAGCAAAATTAATTATTTGAAAATTGACAAAAATGCTAATACCAGGAATTAGTTTTTTTCAATTTAGTTATGCTATTGTTAAATTAAATTTCTAATATTAGTGAGATGTACATATGTGACAAAATGGATTTACATTTGCATAAGATTCCTTTCCTGACAAACTGCAAAACGATAGTAACAAGTATTCCTTAAGTTTTGCAACATCTCGAGTCTGATTTGCAACGAAATCGAACAATATTGAGAACCTTAAAGAACGTTCTAAGAATAAAATTAGGCAAATCACCCGAAATGTTGCAAAAGATAAGAAATACATGTTACTTTTGATTTGCAATTTGCCCGGAAAAAAACGGTGCTCATTTTAAACATTTATTTTCATTAAATAGTATTTAACTTAACAATTTGTTTATACTTTTCTATCACGTAGGCTTTGAAAATGGTGAGAAAACATAGTGCGTTGTATTGCTTGTAAACTGGGCTGTCAAATGTGGTGTCACTTGTCATACCGTTACATTAAAAAAAGTTATAGGTGGCTATGCATTTCAGAAAACAGATATGTCAAATGATGCACAAGAAAGAATAAAAATCGACCTGTTTCAAGATTTTTTACAAAAACCGCTTATATTCAAATTATGAATTTTATTCCAGTTAAAAATTCCACCTTGTATAAAATTGTAATTTACGATTCAAAAATAGTCAAAAAAAATTAAATTTCTAGTAAATTATTTTTTTTTTAACTTCTGTTTTCATTCCGAAGGCCCTGTCTCCTCTGCCTCCCCTGACGAGCCGCCACTGGTAATGAGTCACTTTCCAACTTCCGTCAAGGTTGGAAAAGTTAACATTACCAAATAAAAGAGATCAATTTTCACTCACCGAAATCTTTGATGTATTTCTCTAATTTGTCGTTTTCCTCCTGCGATGTTATACTGGCTAGATGCATACCGTGAAATCTGCAATACTGCGTGGCTCGAAAGTAGTTTGCCTGCGGATGGAAAATCGAATTATAACTAATTAATTTCACAAGCGAAATAATTATCGCACCTGTCTGCTTTTTCACAATCAAGTAGTTTTGTGATTTGTGATTACCCGCCACTGGCCTAAATTTTTTATCGTTGCTATGACGATTTTTATCTTGTAACCATAGTTACGTACTGAATTTTCTGTTACTATGACGACTTTCATTTTGTTACCATAGTTACGTGCATATTTCGCTACATTTCTATAGCAACCTACTACATGTGCGACTCATTAGGGATGAGAAAAGGGGGATTTAAAATAAAATTATGAATAAAAAAAACTATAACAAGGTGATTAGTGAATATTTTCACTTTCACTTTCGGGAATTCGTCGCTAATTCCTAAATAATCACCAATTTGTTAGCACTTTTAGCAAACAATAAATCGCTTTATATCAAATTTGTACAGCAAAGAGTTATTTAACGCGATTCGGTTGACCTAAATGCCATTTTTGTCGTTGCTCAACTGACCTCACGATGAGCAGAAATATCTGAAACCGGTCGAGAGAGATGTTTCAGATATCGCAATTTCCGTATTTGTTGATAATTATTTCGAATAGTAACAAAGATGCGTGAAAAAATGAATTAAAGTGGATTCTATGCGTGAGCTGACATTACGGTTTCAGGAAGTTTCAGAAACAGGTGAAAAATTTCACGATTCTGTGGTCATCAGAGTGATACCTTGACCAGTTTTTCTGTTTATGGAGATTTTTGGAATAAATTAATTTTTGTTGACAATTAATTAGATTTTTTCTGCGCGGACTTGTTTGGTTATTAAATGTAGAGGGACTTTTACAAAGAAAAGCTCAATTTTTCGTGTCTCAACAATTCTCATAAGATATAGGAAAATCAGTTTAACACATAATTTGTTTAAAAAAAACAAAATGTAAATATTTTTTTTAATAAATTGAACACAAAAATATTGTTAGAAATATTTTCTATGTATTTTAATAAAATTGATGTGAGAACTTTAGGTTAGTTAATTGTTTATGGTTCTTGTTTTGAACTCAATCTGGCTTGTTTTAAAAAAGTTTATAATAAATAAAACAATACATAAAAAATCAAGCACTACATTTGGCAAAATTGGCATAAATAAATAAAAATATGCAATAAAAAGTTTCGTATTTTTCAGATTTTATTGAATTATATCTAAGAAAGGCAAAATTATCCATAATTTGTATTTAGTTCGATTTTTAATTAAGAAATTTCATCAAGCCCTGCAATAAATTACTAAATCGGATTTTGAAGATGTAATTTTTTCAAAAAAGTTTAGTTAATGAAGAAAAAAATAATCAAAATTTTAGATAAATTTCTAATAAATCGTAACAGTGAAACATAGACTTTCCATTATTTATTTATTAACGACTCAACGGTTCACTGCTTTGTTTCGACCAACAAGTTGTGTAATAAATCCCTAAAAAATCATTTTCAAATTAAATTCAGAAAAAAATTACAGTTTTGCTTGTTAATTAGCCTGTGAAATATAAATTTTAACATTAATTAGAAAAATTACAAAATAATACAAATTTAAGTACAGTAAAAATTGAAAAATGTTTAAAAAATCCATCTGACAAATAAATCATGAATTTTAAAAGCTATACTGTACTCGTAGTTAGTTAAAGTTAGTTTTATTTAGTAATTCAATAAGTTAGAATCACTTTACCTAATCAACATTTCTTCTTAAAAAAATCAAAAAGTTTTCAACAATTTTAATTAATTAATAAATTTTCAATTTCCAAGAACTTTACATAAACACAAAAACGGCTATTAGGCCAAATTTCAGTTTTTTTCAGTCAGAATTATTTTAGTCAACTTCAGAAGTTTTCTTTTTTTTTATTTTTTCTTTTCTACAAACCGGAAAATTAACAAAAATCAAAATAATGAATATTTTTGATTTTTCAACACTTGTCAACTTTCAGAAATAAATTATTGCAAACGAAAAAAATCACGTTTACTATATAAATTTTCAAAAAATCCAAAGACAATTCACCTACTAGAAGTATCTAAAAAAATTAAGGCAATTTTCGACATTTTTTTAACGATTTTTTGGGTTTCATAAAGTAGAAGCTTCCTGATTCACACTTGCATTTAATTTAATACATTTTATTCACTTTTTGATTAAGAAACTTCGACAAGGCATACAATAAATCACAAAATCGCACTTTGAAAGTGTAATATGGTTTATTTTTAATAATTTTTATTTGTTTGTGCCGCTTAAAAAAAATAATTGTGAAACGAAGCAAATTTTTATTTTACTACATATTTCAAAATGATCAAAGATAAATTTCTAATAAATCGTAACAGTGAAACAGACTTTCGATTATTTATTTATTAACGACTCCACGGTTCACTGCTTTATCCCGACAAAGTTGTGTAATAAACCCCTGAAAAATCATTGTCTAATTAAATTGATCACATTTGCCTGTTATTTACACAAATTTGCTTAAATAAATATAAATTTCAACTATAATTAGATTTAATTAAAATGGTCTTCTACTGAAAATAAATAAATGGGAAAGTAATTATTATTGACATTTTATTTCAAAAAATTGACGAGCTACTTCGATGCATCTTTCCAGTAGCCACATTTCACATTTTTTTGTGGAAATCTAGGTTAAGGATGCTCTCAAAGGAAATGTATTGAAGAAATTGGTAATTGTTACGTCAGATCAGATAGACTTACAATTGTGGAGAAATTTTCGGGCATAGTCGAAAATATTACGTCTTCGGCCGGAGGCAAAACGCATTAATATTGCCCAACACTTGTATGCATGTTTAGATTAGAGAAGAATATAAATCTATGAAATTTTTTTGCAAAAAGTTTCGAAAGCTGGACAAAAACCACTAGAAAGTGAATTCCCAGCTTTCCAAGTCTTGCAAACTCACCTTGAAGAAAATCCCTAGATAGTACCTCTTCTCTCCAAGCTTGAGTAAAGGCATAGTCCACCTGTTGGCCGAAGGTAGCGAGTCGTCGATGCAATTGGGACAATCTGCGGACACAAAACCCCATTAAACGTCACTAGAAAAGCACTAGAACCAGTCCGGACCTGCAGTTTGGGCCCCGCTGCGGACCGAGGGCCCAGCGGCGGCAAAAGTGCCCAAAATGAAAGCCGACAGCAGCAGACCACGAAACATGGTAACTCGTGGAGGAAAAAGGCACGTCTGCTGCTGGTGCTTGGCCCGGTGTTTGCGACCTTGCCGAAGGAGAAAGTGGTTTCTTGGCGGGTTTGGGCTTTTGTAGAGGATGCGGCTTGCTAATGACATTGGACAATCAGAGGTTTTTGGGAGAAGAGGGGATTTATGGGCATTCCATTGGGTTGGTGTTCATCGTCCTTAGAAGAGGTCTCAAGGATAGGACAGGTTCGGTCAAGTTCTTTGCAAAAATGCACCGTTTTGGCCTTTTTGTGATGTCTTCATGGCGAAATGTTAATTGCACGACGGGTTTTTTGAGACGTAAATTGATTGAGATTCTTAAATATTAACTTGTTTACAGATTTTTTTCGAAATTATAATAAGGTTAAAAATAGCTAAAAATTGCAGACTATTTCCCAAACAAAATTTACAAAAATATTTTCATTATTATGGGAAATTAAAAAAAAAATATGTCAATCAAATCAGATTCGCGGTAATTTAGCACACGTTCTCAGAAATTTAAAAGATTTGATTGGTTTAAATTTTTTGAGGGAAATTATCAAAAAAAAATCCAAACCAGGTTTCTATTTTTCTTTTTTAGTTTCCTGACATTTAAAAGTAGACGAAAAGGCATTTAGGTCTATGTTAAAGCTTATTTTTAAAACAAGAAATGATTTTATTTAAACTCAATTAAAAAAATTCAAATTATTGTTTTTTGATTAAGAAAATTTATTGGAGTTTTTTATTTACAGATCCTGAAATTTTATGTTTTAACATTTTTCTATATTTTTTTAAAAACAAAACGAGTTTTATTTCTTTTATGTATTTTGCAATGTTTTAAAATATTTGTGTCGAAATAAAACCAATCGTTTCATCATGTCGTCTATCAGGTTTTTTTAAACTCTTTTGTTTTCAATTTTTCTTATTTTTCTCAAATATAGCCAAACTAACCTAAATTTGATTTAAGACAGTTTTATCAAACAGGGTTAAAAATATAAAATTTTTGAAAATTTTTGTCATTTTTTATAAAAATTTAAATATCTACATTTTGTTATTTTAGTTTGTTTTTAAACTTTTAATGAAACAAAGTAAAAAATAAATAATTCAACACAAAAATAAAATATTTTGCTAAATTCACATTATGTATACAGAAAGCTATTTTTAAAAAATACAGTAAAAATAACAAGATTAAAAAAAGCTATTTAAACTAACTAAACTAATTCTAAAAGTTGGAATCACTCTGATCAGCATTTTTTATTAAAAAAATCAAAGAATTTAGACAATTTTTTTTTATTCGTTCGGTAAACATTTAATAAATCCTCATCAATTTTAAAGAATTTTACGTAAATGCAAGAAACGGCTTTTGAGCCATATTTGGAACTTTTCCAGTCAAAATCACTTTCGTCGACAAATATTTCCTCTAAATATTTTACATTTTTACGCTTAAAAGAAAAGAAAATTACGAAAAATTAAATAACAGTGTCTACCATCGATTTCTAAACATGCGCCTAGTCGGTTGGTAAACGATAACAAAACATGTCGCATCGTTTGAGAGATGATTTTTTTGCTTTAATGTCATAGAGACAAGACTAATAACAGCTATCGTGGATTTAGTTATAATTATTTTCAAAATTTGAAATCAAGAAATTGTTGCAATATACAAAATACAAATTTAGAAATAACCCTCTCGTGACTAACCCTGTATGTATAGAGAAAGCTATGTTTTACTACAATTTTTAAAAAATACAGTAAAAATAACAAGATTAAAAAAAAACTATTTAAACTAACACAACGAATAAATCTCGAATTTTTGCAAGTTTAGGAAGTCTTAGACCTTTAAGAAAAAGTATTGAAGGTAATTTTAGTTTTTTTTTAATTCTATATGTTGGAATCACTCTGATCAGCATTTTTTATTAAAAAAATCAAAGAATTTTAGCCATTTTTTTTTATTCGTTCGGTAACCATTTAATAAATCCTCATCAATTTTAAAGAATTTTACGTAAATGCAAGAAACGGCTTTTGAGCCAAATTTGAAACTTTTTCAGTCAAAATCACTTTTGTCGATTTAGTAACAAATACTTTTTCTAAATATTTTACATTCCTACGCTTATAAAGAAAAGAAAATTAGGAAAAATTAAATAACTCAATAATTTTGATTTTTCAACACATTTCAACTCCCAGCAATAAGTTTTATATTCGTTTTTGGAAACAAAAAAAATGTAGATTTAAGTACAGTAAAAATGAGAAAAAATTGGAAAAAGTTTAACTTAAATTTATCTGACAAATAAATCAGGATTTTTTTCCGAGTTTTGAAAGCTTTAAAATCGGTATTAAAGTTAGTTTCAGTTTTTTTTTTTTAATTCAATAAGTTGGAATCACTTTGATCAACATTTCTTCTTAAAAAATCAAAAAGTTTTTAACAATTTTAATT